CAGACTCGCGTTGGTGTCAAGTCCTTTTAACCTCGGCCAAATCGAAAGGAATATCTTATAGTCACGCGGACAGCGGCTAAAGATACTTCTTTACGATTTTTAGAAATAAATTTCGGGGAAAAGAAAGGCAACCTCTACATCGCGGGCTCGCGTTCGAGGTCGTATCTTTCTTAACACCATCCTAGAATGCCCTATTGCGGCCTAGGTCCGGCAGCGTGGTTGTGTGTGCAATAGTGTAGTGCTAAATCATTAAGGCATACACAACAATTTACAAACAATCAATTTGAACCTGCAAGAAAAAATAACATCTTAATGTCAGGATCATACCTGGAGTCTTTGCTGCCAAATAAAAATTATTTTGAACAGGATAAAATTTTTGGCCTAAGTCCACTTTAAAAAATGCAAGTCCCCAGCGGAGTCGCCAGTCTGGCGCGACCGAGCTCCCGAGCCCTTTTTTATCGAACATGCAAAAAAGGGGGGCTCGCCTGGTACGTGCTAAGTCTAGGTTCGGGACTTAACTCGGGCTCTCCCAAGCCCATACCATATCGCGACTTAGGGTTTAAGTTTTTAACATGCAAGTGGTTTATATCAAGGAGTCACCACTAATGGATTTGGGGTGGGTCGATTAGAAACCCAAATAGGGTGATGGGAGAATCACCCTATTCCTACGAACCAGAGATTAAATGAGTTCGGGGACTTGGTTACACTAGTTGGATAACTAATGCCCTTTCGATACCATTTTACCTGTTCATTTCTGAAAACATTTGTCAGGCAATTTGGATTGATTTTAGGACCTTTCTCCTAACATGTGAGGTGATCAAGCGAGTGCATAATCAGAAACGATTAGCAGTCAGGAACACAACAATGCATGCATCTTAAGGTTCTAACCTTAACTAAGTTAGATGACATTCAAAACACAACAGTTCATGCAATTGTATTAAAAACATGCATAACAATACAACGGTAATAAAAACTAACATGCAAAATATTACCGCGCAATCTCAGGCTTGTCTAATTTAAACAAGACAAAAATATGCATAATAATACTACAATAAATTAAACATTTAGAATATATCACACAAATTTTTTATAAAAAAAATTAATTTTTTTTTCGAGAGAAAAAAAAACAATACAGAAAAAGAAGAAAAGAAAAAAAATTAAAAAATTTTTTTTTTTGAAATTTTTTAATTTTAAAATAAAATAATAAAAATAATAATATAATATTAAAACCGGGTCGGGTCGGATCCGACCCGGGTCAACGGATCCGACCCAAGCGTTGACCCGGGTCGGGTCGGTTGATCCGGGTAGGAACCGACCCGGGTCAACAGGTCCGACCCAAGCGTTGACCCGGGTCGGGTCGGCTGATCCGGGTCAGTCTGACTCGAATTCACAGACCTGCGGGGGGAGGCGCCGGCAGAGCCAAAAATGGCCGTCCACCGGCCGACCCAGACCGGCACCGCCCCCAAGCCTCGCTTCCTGGTTGAACGCCGAGCTTCACCACTTACCCGGACTCACCGTCCGGCCACACTGCTTGCCGTAGGCGACCAAACGAAACTGCCACCGAGGCATTTCGTCAAACAGTTGACGCGCATGCCAAAAACTGAGGTGTTTTGCCCTCCTCCGACGAATCGGTCGGCTCCGGCGGCTACGGCTGGTTCTCAACTGAGACTAGGGACCGAGACCGGCGACGGCATGGACCGGGAGTCACGCGACACGGCCGGCGTGAATCCCGGCCCGACCGTGTCAAAAAAACAGAGCAGGACAGGGAGTCTCGGCCGGGGGGGAGCTCACCGGTGACGGCGCGTCGGGGCGGCTTTCTGGCTATTCCGTGGGCGACGGCGATGCTGCTGGTTGTCCTTCCTGCTCCGGCGTGGCCTCTGTTTGCTCCCTCTCTCTCTCTATTCTCAGCTCTCTTTCTCTCTGTTCTCTATATGCTCTGTTTTTCTCTCCCTCCGGCCGACCGGGCGGCTTTGGCTGCTTCACGGCGACGGCGACGCTGATGGTTCGCTCCGGCGTACTCCCGACCTGCTTTCTCTCTCTCTATTCTCAGCTCTCTTTCTCTCTGTTCTCTCTATGTTTCTCTCTATGCTCAAACCAACCGAGAAAAGACCGCCCCTCTCTCTCTCTCTTCTGGCCTGTATAGGCCGACGACCACGCTCACTCTCTGCTCCGTTGCGTCTGCTGACGACGGCCTGCACCGGCCTACTCTGGCCCGCGACTTTCGCGACCGTTTAGGCCGGTGCAGAGGGGGGTCGATTCTGTGAGGACGCAGAGAGAGAAGGAGAGAGAGAGGGAGCCCGGGAGATAGGGAAGACGGGACTGGCCTTAATGGCCAGTCCCTGTGGCGTGTTCCCCCGGCCCTCCTCTGGCCTGATGGGGACGGCGCGGAGCTGCTCCGCCGCTCGTCGTTCTGCGTCAGCTGCAGGGGTGAACAGGGAAAGAGAAAGGGACGTTGGCGGAGGAGAAGGAAGGAGGAGAAGGTGCTGGGCCGGGCCAGGCCTAGCCGCGCGGGGGGAGAAAACAAAAGAAAAGGAAGTGGGCTGGGCCCGCGTGGGGGAGAAAAGAGAAAAGAAAAAGAAAAGGGCCGGGTCGGCCCGGCCCAACTCGAAATTTTTTTTTTTAATTAATCTTCTCTAATATACCCTATTAATGCAAAATGTGCCTAATTTCTATATGCAATGCATTTAAATTGAAATATTTTTGTTTTAGGAATTAAAGGAAATTAACTCCTAAATTTTGTGTAATTAATTTTTGGGGATATTAAAAATAGGTGTCAACAGCTACATTAGAATTTCATGCAAATGCTTAAGACCAGAATTACAAAATTGAATAGTTTAGAACTGAATGGCATCCGTACAATAGGTTTGGGAATGATCGGGTAATTTTCCATCTTTAATTTGCCTTGTGGCATGCAAGAGCCAATGGATGGGATGAATCTCTAATTTTTTGCCTCGACCTCAATTTCCTGCTTTGGGCCTCTCTCTTCATCACAATCTTATGGTGCACCCTTTCTACTTTTCTTGGGATGGTTAGGGCATGGATTCGATGCTCTCATCCTGGATCTACCTTCTTCTCGGATTCCTCGATGACTACTGATGGTTCCTCGAGATTTTTAGATCCATCGTGTTGTCAGGGGTCTCTGGATCTGCCTTCTTATCTTGTGATGCCACGCTAGGTGAACAAATATGCACTCAAAATGCACCTGGAGCAAGCTCAACAAAGTTGGCATCTCATGCCGGTAGTCTCGTTGCGTTCGTGTGCAATTGTATGGTGATCCTAAAAGCCGCTTGTACGAATGCAATATCACATTGTTTTATAGATTTTGTTGAGGGCCTTGCACAGGCATCCCAAGGAACTTGTTGAGTAAACCTTGCTCAATCACCATGCTCTCCTTTGCTCGCCTTATAACCATTTACCGTCTATAACTGTGAGAGTCTGACTATAAGGATGATCCTCCTCCATTTATACAAAAGCTCACAAAATTAGGCAACCAAACGATTCAGACAATATCTACTAGAACCTTGTACGGCTTGTACGGCTAGTACCGTCACCATTCGCTATAACGTAAGTTTGTTGATTCTAACCTTGTACGGCTAGTACCGATACCATTCGTTACAATTCGTTCAACGATGTTATACGGCGCTAAATAGGTGCCATATTAAACCATATAAATGAAAACAGAATTGAGAGAGAGAGAGAGAGAGAGAGAGAGAGAGAGAGAGAGAGAGAGAGAGAGAGAGAGAGAGAGAGAGAGAGAGAGAGAGAGAGAGAGATGGGGTCCATTGCAGCTGCCATAGCACAGGCTCATGTTCTAGCTTCCGACAACCATGGATGTTCAAATTCAGGTTTGTGGACACCATAGCAACTTGAGCTTCTAGCTATAGCCACTTAATTTGAGCTCGCAACGGCCATGGCCGCAAGATTTTTTGAGTAGCGAAGCACGCAGTAGGCACATCCACTAGATCTTTTCGAGCCACGAAGGTCGTGGCCGCCATGACGCTTGAACTTCAAGCTAGTGGCGGCCATGGCCACTTGAGCTTCAAGTCACGAAGCTCGAGGCCATGGTTGCATGATCTAAGCTCTCAATCATGTTCGCTCAATTGGTACTCGTGCGAATAGCTCGAATCACAAGTTTTGTATTGTTGTGGTTATTTTGTTGGTTTTCTTCACGTTAATAATTTTCCTTATCTAGTTTTTATCATATAAGGAATTTCACTGTCATCCCAATAAGGGATATTTTCCTTTCAAATTTCTCAGAAAAACCGGCTAAGCAATTTAACCAGTTTCTTTGGGAAATTGAAGACAATCATTTCTCAATTAAGCAACTTAAATCCACTCTCTTTCATTCTCCCCGGTTGAGAATACACGTCCCAAAGAAGCAGATCAAGCATGCCAAATGTCAGCATTGAGACCATCAGTAAACCTAGTCGAAGGAGTCATTGTTTCCTCATTCAGATTACAACACATCATCGATCCATCGAACCTATTCATGTAATCTGCGGCGTTAAGGGACGATTATCTAAGATTCCAAGTTTGATCCATGAATCGTCTTCCATAGTAGCGAGGAACGTATTTCTCTTTTAGTTTTTTTGCTTTATCTCAGCCTAAGTTGCTACGGGTTGCTCACCAATTCGCTCTAGGTTCATCAGACTAGAGTGCCAATAACGCTTAACGAAGCCTGCAAGTTTCAGCTTTGCATAGTGAATCCTACTACTCCATGCATTTTAAGCAAAGCATATACCATGCATTTTAGCAAAGCATTTTTAACCCTGACAAGTGATTTGAGAATGTTTGAAGTGTTTATGCAGAGCATAATCCATGCATATATTGTGCAGTTAAAGAACTCCATTCCTTGAGTGTGGCGTCCTCTTGTTTAAAATTATTGGGTCGAATTTGGCATGAGAAGTAAACGTATAAAAAAGTAGCCATCTAAAAATCTTTCCGTTTTCTTATAAAGTTATGTATCTATCTATCGAAATAACCTCGAATTATAAGAGATAACTCACAAAAGTCTTCCATCAAATTTCGAAATGATGCACCATGATCTGATTTTGGAAAAAAAAAGGAAAATTGAAAGGATCTCGCTATACATTTAATAATCTTTTCTCACGTTTGGTACGGATAAATAAGTGATCCCTTATAGTAAAGATCTATGAATCTACTACTTCCACTCTAGATTTTTGGTCTCCGTCGCAACGGTCGGATCCCTAGAGAGAAACACCCGGAGAACTCTATTCGATGCCGTAAATGCGTGAGAAAATTTGTCGAAATCTCTACTTGATCTGTGACCGGCGCACTCCATGGCTGGTCACTCAAGTGCCCTTTTGGACATATAATCCTGGCAAGGGACTCCATTAACAGGAAGTGATTGATATTCCAGGTTCTTATCTGTTGCCTGTACACAATCTTTTGCATGACACTTGACGACTAGGAAGACAAATAGAAGAAAACCAGCAAAACGCCTCAATTATGCAGAGACAAGAAGCGTTTGACCACCCCTCATCATCATCCTCTTAAACTCGTCAAAGTTGATCCTCCCATCTCCATCCACGTCCACCTTCCTTATCATCTCCTCGCACTCCTCCGTCCTCTTCCCTTCCCTCATTCCCAACGATGACAAGACCAGCCGCAACTCCTCCACCGTTATCACCCCATCCCGGTCCCTGTCGAACACGTCAAATGCCTCCTTCAGCTCCGCCTCCTGACTGTCACCTTCGCCGAAATCACCGCCCACCTTCATGGCCTCCCTCTCGTCCCCACCACTGGCCGTGGATATGGACTCCAGGAGGCTGCAGAACTCGTCAAGGTTGAGACGGCCATCACCGTCCGCGTCGGAGCCGGTCACCGCCTCCTCCAGCTCCGCATCCGACACGGAGATCCCGACGCCCCTCAGGGACTCCCTCAGCTCCTCTCTCGTGATGAGCCCATCGCGGTTCCTATCGAATGTCGCGAAGACCCTCTTCACCTCTGCCCTCCTCTCAGCACTCATAGTCGGCCGCTCCTTCCTCTTCTGCAGCAACTGCTGCTCTCGGGCCGTCGCCGCAGCGCCAACTAAATCGCCACACGAGCCTGAAGCGGGTTGCAGACTCAGGCGCCCGGCGAGGAGAGACTTGAGCAGCGTGGGGAGCTTCTTCAGGGGAACGCGGAGGAGTATGTATGCGATGGAAGCGACGAAGACAAGGAACAGCAAAAGTGCATTGAGCAGCATGGTTTTTCGTATGGGGGGTTGTAGGGAAGGAAAGCGCTTGAGGAAGATGAGAGGAAGGAGAGAGGTGCTGATGAAGAGATAGAGAGAGTGAGAGAGAGACACACACACAGAGACAAATTTTTCTTATGTGGATATGGCGTTGATGACGAGGAATAAGTTATATGGGGGTTGGACGAGGAAAGGCTGGAACATTAACGTCCAACAACTTCGGCGGTACGCTGTATGTGGCGTGCGAGGGGTTATCCCATATGCGTGGAACAAAAGCTAAAGCAGCCAATCACGAGAATGGAATCTTGGTAAGCGTGGAGGGAGAAGAAATGTAGTGCGAAAGATTCATTTTCACTCTCGGTACGACCGTCATGATGAAAAACTCCAATCAAACTCACACTACACTGCCGTACCGTCATGATGAAATACTCCAATCAAACTCACACTACGCTGCTTCGCATAGTTGATTGGAGCGCCGGTGTATTTCCAGTTTTAAGTGCTGGAGGTCGTCCGTTCGAATTTTTATAGATTATGAGAAAACTCATGTGAGTCGCAACCGTGTGCACAAATTAAGGAATTGGATTTATTTCTTTTAAATTCGTGAGGCTTGTAAGATGTTGCATGAATTTTCAGGTAGCCGGATCTCTGCAGTTGGATGCCTTAGTTTATAGAAACACGCGTAGCGGTGACATATCTGGCACATAGCACCACCGCCCAACATCATTGTTCGCCTCACTAGACGTCGTTGCGTCTTATGGACTCCAACACACTTGCCACCATCATGTAATATCTATGCCTCTCCTAATTCCATCGTCAGATCCAACTCCACACTTATAAACTGTCTACTTCTACCAGAGAAATGACCATATTGAGGACAACCTTAATCTGAAGTCGTCCATGGTGGTCTTAACTAGAAAACATGGAAATAAGCATTAAAGTTGGAAATAAAGAGGGTCCTCAGGGTTTTAGGTGATCAATTGATTTAAAAAAAGTGTAGAATTCACTTTGAATTTATTATGTGGCTATGTCAAATTACCTACTAAATAAAGAGAATTTTTGTTTAAGTAGTTAGTAGAAAAGACTGAATGCATCTCGACATTGCTGTTGAAGTAAATTTGTAGAACTAGAAACTGTCGGACCCGCGTTGCAAGATTCACCAAGGGAAAAGAAAGAAACATGGAATGCAACATGAGACAGCGGACGCTAAAGTGTTTAATCCTTCTACTAGGGAAAGGAAAAAGTGCAACCAAAACCTATGGCAAAATAACACCAAAAGAGCGACAACGATGTCGACGAGTATATTACCCCAGCTACCAAATTACTGTTGTACAAGGAACATGACAATCATCTTTACCAAAACTATAGAGGGAAAACTTTATGGTTCGATGAAATTCAAGCTGTAGAGTGAATCAATCAGATTGATTTCCATCTGAAATACTAAGGATACAAATTAAAGCAATGCCAGATGCAGCAAATGACTTAAAATTAGTACAGTACGCCACAGGAGTAGTACTCATTTTGAATTAGCACCATGAACAACATGACAGACAGATGTAAAAAATTGCCTCATCCACGGCATATGAGAGAGAGAGAGAGAGAGTACCGATTTCAATTTTGCTCTGGATGAACAATTATGCTGCTAATCCAACAAATATAAAACAGTTCGGCAACTTCAAAATTACAGTCCAACTGCCATTCTTCGTCCACTGAGCCTGCTGAATCGTTTACTAGACCTATCTAGCTCTTGTCTTGACAAACTTGGTTCTTGAAGCTCTTTTCTCCATCTTTTCTCTCTTCTTGCGAGTTTTATCATCTTCTGTGTCATCCTAAATCATGCAAACGCGTGTTATTTATGAATCCATAAACCATTCAACTGAGATAAGCCCGAAGGTAAAGCAGAAAAGGACATACCTCAGAACCTGCAGGCAAAAATCCCTTAACAAAGCCAAAAGATTTATATGCTCCAAATGCAGGAATCTGCAAAAGGACAATGTTATGTAGCAGTCTTAGTTGTTAGGGTTCTTTTCTATCCTTGCCAGAACACAAAGAAATATCAACTGAAATTATACAAAAGTTCCTGAGACTTTTGCTAAAAAAGACTACAAGTATCAACTTATGAAATGAGCCACTTAAGTATTAACCAGATATCTGCCCTAGCACTGATACTCATCCATGTATTTCAGGGTTCATTCACCTTACCAATAAGTTGGCAGGACTAGTTCAGTTTACATAGCAAGTGGACACTGCCATTAGAAAATGCACTGGTTTATTCAATGCTTCAAGCAAAATTGGACGAACACTCGTTCTCAGCCTATTTTGTCAAGCCATACTGCTCCACTTGTCATGGCATCAGCACTTTGCGAGTTTTTTTTTCCTTTTTCTTTTAGTCTTTATTCACCCTACACATATATTTATCGTGCATAATGTCATTGAAAATTGGGTTAAGGTCTAGAGGAACGAGAGGCATGAAGTACTTAGAGTTTCACCAATATGGATCCATGATATCTATGCAAGAAAATATCTTTATTCAACTTCTATGTGCAATGAGATGCTTGGCCAATCTAGCTTTGACCTTAACATCCCTTGTCAACCTCTTAACTGACTAATTAATCATTAGCAGAACAAGTTTGTTTACAGAATCTCTGAATACAGGAATGCAGTTCGACTAAATAAGCTACACTCAGAACCCTATATAGATAAAAAAATTTGCTTTCTCTACTTTATAGCAACACTCCCTCCAAAATGAACAAGAAGTTAAAACTGCGTGCATCAAGAAACTGGTGAAAATGGTCACATAGACTGGTGGCCAAGTATATAAGCTATAGGAGAGACTAGAGGCAACTAAGAGTCTAAGACTATCCAAAGAGCTGGCACAAAAAGTTACCAGATATCTCCACATATGATTTTGCCACCATATCCATTTGGTATGTATAACAGAAGAATGAATCATACCACCAAGTATGTGTACCAGAATTTCCCTGAAATGATGGATGCCACTTGCACAAAACTCGTAATGAAGATCACATCATGCAGATATCTGCAGAGCAAGAATTAGCAAAGCAAACTGCATCATTTTTATCAAATTGATATCATTAAAGAACAATGCAGTTGACAAAATTTATGCTCAAGAATATAAGATTGTTAAATAAAAAAAAGAACCCAGAAGTAACATGGCCATCTAACTTTCGAAACTTCCTTTACAATTGCATAAATTCACTGCAAAGCAATCATATTACAGCTCTTAGAAACCTCAGGGCAATGCATCCTGATGAGTCAAAAGTAACATGTCATATAGCAACAATTCTAAGGAGCAGAAATAGTACATTCTAAAACTTGAATCAAAAGTAAATTTGTGACCTTACATGCCAAAATTGTATTACCATTGGTCCATCAACGAAAGACTTAACCTAGACCTCTGACTGGAGGGGACAGACAACAAAAAGAATATTCAAGAAATTTGTTTTTAAATAAAGATTCCTCTACATAAATAAAGGTCTTGGAAATGAACGTTGGCTTCCATTCTGCTGATATAACAGTTGCATGGAAAGACCTATGAAGGTGCCCTCTTCGATAATTGAATTAAATGCCGATGAACACTCTAATCATCTGTTTGATCAACGTCTAACAAAAATTATTCGAGATTTGTGAAAAAGGAATAAGCAAGTAGACATACCGCCTCCATCTAGTTACCCCAGACCCAGTAGTAAGATTCATTGGCACAATAAGATTGCTAATTTTGAACGATAGGGCATAACATGATTATTTTTTTCTATAAAAAGGAACCTTGCGTCAGCCGAGTGAAGCCCAAGTACATGAAATACGCCATTAACCTCACGGACCATTCTAAGATACCCATGACTAGGACAATTGTTTTCATTTCCATTCTCGGGAAAGGACAATGAGGCAGTGCCTTTGAATATCCTTTGGGCAATCATGAGATTAAAGTGTGGTACAAATTCCTAAGTGAAGAATCAGCGAGTCTTGCCTAGTTAGGAACCCGGAATATCGCCATTGTCAAACACATAAAACAAATTTTAACATTTAGATAAAATGCTTTTTTAATTTCTTAAGAAGTGACATGTACCTTAGTATCCAAGTTATCTTGGGGATGGGAAAGGTATAAAACTAAGGAAATCAAATGAGATTTGCATTAAATATTCATTTCTTTGTTGAACAGTCTCCCAACATATTGCAAGATGCTGTAGAAAAATTATGATTCAGCAGTCAAGCTTTTGATATAGCATATTTGAAAATTCCCTACAAAAGTACATGAGATCTTTCTTAAAGTCTCCCCCTGAGAGGAAATGCAGCAATGGTGCACAGATCGAGCTTTATATTAAAGATCAATACCGTGTGCGCCAATTAAAAAAAATCAAATGATGACATGACATTAATATATAAAATAATGTAAGGAGGTAATCATTATGTTCTGTCTGCATGTGCAGCTAGGTAAGGGCGTGCACACACACACACGTGTGTGGGTGTGTGTGTGTGTGTGTGTGTGTGTGAGAGAGAGAGAGAGAGAGAGAGAGAGCTTACCCACAGACTCCACCTGTATTCATGTCGAATCCACCGTCTAGAAGCTCTCCATCATCAGCATAAGTAGGCTGGGCCATTTTAGCAAGTTGCAGGTATGGAATTGCATATGCTGCAGATGTGACAAGCAACCCAACCCAATGTTTCCAGGTGAAAGAGGAGTGAAAGATGAGCATTCTCACTAAAATGTATAAAACCTGCATTTTTTGGGGGGAAAAAGGAATATCAACACAGGTCATCAGCCAGCTGCCAAGCAAGCGATAGCTAATTCAACGAAAGAAATTGTGATCATGAACTTGTCACCGATTCAGAGGAAAAAATATCTAGAATTAAGTTAAAGTAGCATACAGATTGCATGTCGTTAATTGAGATACTAAATCAAATGAGAATTTGTTGTCATTGTACTGCAGCTAACAAAATCAATTGACATTTCTATCAGGGTGCCAACTTGGTAAATCTTAATCATCATCTATAAAAACTTGGCAGGTAAAAACAACTAAAAGTTGGTATAAATTAGATGGCAGCTACAATCACAAGTTCAAGTAATAGAATCAGTAAAAGGGAGCCTTCTCAAGACAATCATCTTCTCTGAGAGAGGTACATCATTCAGTCGCATAAGTTGGGTCTTAGTATTTGTTCCATACCAAAATTCATTTTACATGAATGCATTTGAAAAGATACCAGCATATGCTCAACAAGGATTGACACAGTCCAATATCACCACCAGTGCTCACACGATTAATACCTCCTTGTATATTAACTGATGCTATTGGTTGATGTGTTGCAATCAAGCAAGCAGAATTTAAGGGAAAAACAGTAAGAGGAAGGACTCGAAGGAGTATCAAGAACTTGAGACAAAACGCAGTAAAGTCATATTTACTTAAATTTCGGTACAATTGGCTACACGGTTTTTATCTCTACAGCCACAGGAGAAAATAGACACTAAGGTAGCAAGGTTAAGTACGAGTTTGGTCTCTCAAACTTCCTTTATCCCTCTTAATTTGCAATGCAGTTGATTTGGTCTCTCCAACTCAGTTTCTCGGGAAACTTTGCTGAGATGGTCAAACAGACACTTTCACGAGGCCCATAGTTTGTCTATGTTGATCATTGGTGGCTTTTAAAAGACAAAGGTTAAATTTTTTGGGGAAATTAAACAAGAAGTACACACAGTGTGAGAATGATTCGAGTTGAGGGACCAAAGTCATACTTAAACCAAAAACCGACACAATGGACAAACCAAAATCTAACCGAAAGAACTAGCACAACCAATAAAAGTAGGCCACCCATGTCCATATGGGTTTGCTTCTACTTCTTCTTATTAATGAGTTGTCCCACATCCTATCACACGTTACAATAGGAAGCCCAATGGTCCTGGTTCCAATTCTCCTCCTCACCTCATGCAGTAAAGAGATTGCATAGGAAAGTCTTGAGAAGATATAACCACAACCAATTGCAAGAAGTCCAGCGCTTGTAGACATACCGCTAAAGGTTCTTTCACAAACTGAAAGCTTGCCAAACTCCATCCAACTATTAGGAGCAGGATACATGTCCAGCTGTTTTCCAATAAGGTACTCCTTGAAATCCTTCGTTTCGGTATTCATCATGATTTTTTGAGCTAACACTACTCTTAAGAGTTGTATGTTCAGTGAAAATATCTCAAATCTTATCTTCAAAACGTCTTTGCTCTTGCAAATCTCAGCTTTTTCCCAGTACCATTTTGAAAATTATCTCCATCTCATCTTCAACCATGTACTTGACCTCACAGCTTTTAGATTTACCAATAGAACATCAACATTTATCAAAAGAAAGCACGCATTACGATAGAGATCATGTCATGAAGCTCCAAGTAGAATCTAATTCAGTAGTTTCAAAATGCTTTGCTACTAGCATGTCTATGATATCATCATGATTACGAGTACAGACCTTTTAATAATCCTTCAAGAATCTGAAATGAAGGATCACTTTTTGTGCGTCGCAATTAGCAAAAGCAGATGTTAAGGGACGATCAATAAAAGTGAGAACAACTAGGATGGAGGAACAAGAACTCGAGAGAGAACTCGAAACTCATTCGTCGAACCATCAGTAAAGTTAAATAACGGATTTTACTCTCCGCCAGTGCAACTGAGGGAAACACACTAACCAGATCCTAACCAGCACAACCAGCAGAATTGATCAAATTCGGCCAGTGCTTCAGTGCTTCACCAGGCATCAAAGCAATCTTCCATGCATAGGATCAGAAGTGTCATTTCTAACCCCAGCAGCAACAAACACCATTCCCTGACTCACCTAAACTTTGTCATACTTAACCAAAACGCCCACCAAGAAATTCGTCGAAACGCGACAAGAACACTCCAACAGAATAATGGGAAAAGCCCCCATCACAGTTCTCACCAAAATATCGCATTTCCTGCTTCCTTCACATGGCCATGACTACCCGAGCCCATTCTCATTTAAAAAAAAAAAAAAAAAAACCTCTCATTTCGAAGGCTCCCATTACCTCTATAAAAGAAAACCTCACCCAAAAATGCACCCACAATGCATCCATCCATATTCAAAAGAAACCCGAGCCAGTCATCAGCTCCCAAGACACGCAGCTTTTTCCCTGGCCATGATCCCCCGGAGCCTATGCTCACCGTGCAAACCCTCACCTCAAACTCTCCCACTTGCTCCAATCAAACCCCTAAACCCAAAAAAAGCTTCGCCGACGACGCATCCATTTCGAAAGCAACCCGAGCCATATAGCCGCTCATCAGCTCCCCAACACACACATACCTCACGCAATCTCTCTCTCTCTCTCTCTCTCTCTCGCCCCCGATCCAGTCGATCGGCACAGCGCCATCGAAGCAGAACCGAAAGGATCGAAAGGAATCAACAAGAACGAAATCAGAATGCCCTAATCGAGAACCAGCCCCCCCCCCCCCCATCCGATCACCAATTCGAACAAGGAGCAGAGAATCGAAACGGAGGGAGGAAATTACGTTGCAGGCGAGGATGAGGTGACGGAGCTTGGCCATGTGGCGGGCGTTCTCTTCCTTGCGCTTCTTCGCTCCTTGATTCGCCATCTCTCTCTCTCTCTCTCTCTCGCGCGCTCGCTTTGAGCTCGATACGATACAAATACGAGAATTCGGTAAGACGAATGGGGGAAGGCGAAACGACCGTTTTATATTTTTATTTTCCTTTTTCTCTTTCTTTCTTCTAATTTCTCTCTCTCTTTTTTTTGGATTAGATATGCTTTGTTTATTAAGGGCGCGAATGATAATCATTCTGGTCTAGAAACAATTCCTAAAACAGAAATAGATTTTTCTATTTCTGTTTCCAGGATGAGTTTCTAAGAAAATAAAACCGTTTGATAACGATAAAAAATTTCTATTTCTAGAACAGAAACCCGTTTGATTACAGCATAAAATTTCTATTTTCTAAAACAGAAACCCGTTTGATTACAGCATAAAATTTCTATTTTCTAAAACAGAAACCCGTTTGACAACAATAAAAATTTCTATTTCCAGGAATAGAAATCTATTTTTTTAGAAATGGAATTAAAAAATTAGAAAATTCGGAAAATTCCTAAAAATCTCAAAAAAAAAATTCAGAAAATCCATAAAAATTGAAAATTACCAGAAAATTCATAAGCCAGAAAATTAAAAACAGTCAAATTTCGAGAAATTAGGAAATTTGTTGAATTTTTTTAAAAAAATAAAAAATTTCAAAACTTCAGAGAATGACTTAGAATACCTTTGGCCACCCATTTTAAGTGAAATTTAAATTTTTTTATGGTGCCCAAAAATATCAAAAAATAAAAATTTTTAAAAATTCACAGAATGGCTTAGAATACCTTTAGCCAACCACTTTGAGTAAAATTTAAATTTTTTTAGGTACCCAAAAAAAATCAAAAAATTTAAAACTTCACATAATGGCTTAGAATACATTTGGTCACCTACTTTGAGTTAAATTTAAATTTTTTGATCTTTTTTTTATTTTTTTGGGCACCTCAAAAAATTTAAATTTCACTCAAAGTGGGTGGCCACAGGTATTCTCAGCCATTCTCTAAAGTTTTGAAATGTTTTATTTTTTGATTTTTTTGGGCACCTCAAAAAATTTAAATTCCATTCAAAGTGGATGGCCATAGGTATTCTAAGCCATTATGTTAAGTTTTGAAATTTTTTATTTTTGATTTTTTTGGGCACCTCAAAAAATTTAAATTTCACTCAAAGTGGATGGCTATAGGTATTTTATGTCATTCTGTGAAGTTTTGAAATTTTTGACTTTTTATTTTTTTTTGAAAAAATTCATCAAATTTCCTATTTTCCTGAAATCTGAAGAAATTTTTATTATTTTTTCTGGAATTTTTCAATTTTTATGGATTTTCTGAAAAAAGAATTTTGAGATTTTTGGGACTTTTTCCGGATTTTCTAATTTTTTTTATGAATTTTATGAATTTTTTGATTTTTTTTCTGATTTTTCTGAATTTTCTAATTTTATTTATTTCCCACCGGGAATGAATCAGACCGAACAGGTTCGAACCGGTCTGACAGACCGGGCCCAGATTTAGGAAGAGATGTGTTTTGAAGAGAGAAATGGGTTCTTTTAGAAATGATTCTGATTTTTGGTTCAGAAACAGAAAACTTACTTTTTTTAGGTTCTGATTTCTGGTCCAGAATCAGTTCTGGAACAAAAAGTTATTTCAAAAATAGAAAAATAGAATTGCGTTACCAAACGGGTTTCTGTTCCAAACCTGTTTTTGGGAACAGAAAACTAGTTCTGAACAGAAACAGAATGGTTAGCATTCGCGCCCTAACTCTCTTCTCTTTTTTTTTCTCAAAATTTGATTGTCGCTTATCATGAGATATCTAATATATTTCAAAGTATTTTGTTTTGCCAAAAAAAAAGATTGAGATATCTTCCCGAGTAAAATCTATCGATCGGTGCGTCGACAGATAGTGTGTAGGGTCCTCTTTTTTTTTTATTTTGAACGAGAAAGTAAATGAGCAGGTGCGAACACCGTGTAAATTGCAGAAAAAATGAATTGCAAGAAATTCAAGATAAAAATAAATCTGCAGGAAAATGTTGAGTTCTACAGTAGTGAAATATAGATATTTTCAACCCATAATCGATGGTTACAAGCGGGTTTTTGAATTTGGATGAACAAATAACATCCTAATTTTATATGCGGTTAGTTACACTATCAACGATCTCCCATTATCTAATGTTTACAAGAAATTACGATTTTGAAAATGTCGACTCCGCTACTTGGCAATTATATACTGTTATCAATGATTTTCCTAGTGACTTCCTTCAATTCATCAATTGTTCTATTTATTGATGACTTCTACTTTCACTAAATTTTGCTCTTAACGATTAATTTTGTCACTTGTCGATAATAACAAAAAGTTTGTCATTTTTCTGTGCCATATATCCAAATAATGAGTCATTGAATCATATATAATTCTTTTCATAATTTTTTGCGCATAAAATTGAAGTAGAAATGATTAATATTTTTTTTTATCCAACCGAAGAGACTCCAAGTGGAAAGGGGGATTTTCAATAAAATAGACTAATGGTGAAAAGAATTCTGAAAATGAAGAGGGGGGAAATGGAATCAGACTTTCCTCAGCCGACCGGGTGGACCAGAAGGAGAAAGAGAGAGATTTCCCTTTCTAGGACAAGTCTATAGTTTTTTTTTTTTGTTCAGAATAACGATATTCATTCATATCTCAAGTCTTAGCTTGCCAATGCACCGGCAAAGCATCAACACAAAGTAGACTCCGAAGATCGGGAGGGGGGTAGAGGGTCCAATTTTGTGGCAGGAAATTTTTTCTTTGAGCCTTAACTACCTAGTCTGCCACTTTGTTGAACTCTCTATTACAATAGGCCAACTTAATATCAAAAAAGTTTTTCAATAGATCTTTGGCTTTCAAGATAAGCACACGTATATCCCATTTGAAATGATTTGCACTTGTGAGAGCTCTTACCATGTCTAAAAAATCATATTCTAGTTGAAGGCAATCCATAGCATGTTCAGAGAAGAAAACTAGCATTTCTATAAGAGCACTGACCTCCGCTTGAGCTGAAGAGCTAAACCTTACTGTTTTGGCAAATCCATCTACAATTCTTCCGAGGCTATCTCGCATCACATCAACAACTGCTCCCGTCGTTGAACCTTCAGTAAAAGAAGCGTCGATATTGATCTTTAGTACTTCCTGTTTCGGGTTTCGCCAAATCTGAGGTAAGTCTTCACCTTCACCAGCTTTTCCTTTTCCTAAATTGCTTTCTCGTGCTTCATAATGCGTCAACTGAGCTGAGTTCACTAGCTAATGTGGATTTGGTTTTAGTCTTCGCAATATGAAATTGTTCCTTGATTTCCAAATAAGCCAAAGGATAGTCGCAAGTAGCTCAAAAGGTACAGTTGTGACACTAAAGTTCAAGAGCCATTCTTCAATTCTTGGGAGACCTTGATTGGAAATCTTGATTTGCAGTGAAGGATTGGACTAGACTTGTTTCGTCCACGGGCATAGAGGAAAAACATGCTCAATAGTCTTGGGATGTTGCTAACATAACTCACACTTTGGTTCTGGTACAATACTCCTTCTGAATAGATTTTCCTTTGTTGGTAAGGCATTTTGACATACCGCCCATAGGAAAAATCGAATCTTCTATACTATGTTTGCCTCCCAAATTTTAGTCCACAATACTCTGGGGGTTTGATATGAAGAAGATGCCTGATTTGGATTTGGTTTCTTTGCAAGGCCTCTGTTCCTGTTATAACCGCTCTTTACTGTATAGGACCCGGATTTGACATTTAACCAAACCAGTTTGTCTTTAGTGTCATATGATCTTAGTGGGATTGCAAGAATTTCATTGACAATGTGTTCATCAAATAGCTGCTGTAGCATCGGTTCATTCCATTTTAACTCCTCCTAGACAATTAACTCAGCTACCATCTTAGGCTCTCCACTATTAGTTGGACCACCAATAACTCCTTGTGTAGCCATTTGTCTTCTCTAATGTTAATCTTTTCCCCATTGGCCACAGACCACATAACGGAAGGATGAATGGATGCTCTTCCCATCAGTATACTTTGCCACCCCCATGATGGTCGAGTCCCTTTCCCAGCATGCCAAAAGTCACAATTAGGGAAGTAAAGCCCTTTCAATACTTGAGTCCACAATGAGGATGGGTTTTGAGTAATTTGCCATACTTGTTTTCCTAACATAGCCCATTAAAAGTCATTAGATCCCTGAATCCAAGTCCTCCACTATCCTTCCTTCGTTTTAGCACATCCCAATTCCTCCAATGTAATCCAGCTTGTTTTTCACCATTTTTCCACCAAAAAGATGCAATTTTCTTTTCAATTGCCTTGCAAATGGAGACAGGGATTTTAAAAATAGACATAGCATACTGTGGTAATGCACCACTGCTTTAATGAGTATTTCATTTCCAGCTTTTGACATCAGATTTTCCTTCCAACCTTCTAGTTTCATGTTTACTCTAGCTAGTATCCAGGCAAACAATTGTTTCTTTGTTGCCCCACAGTCTGAAGGAATCCCTAAGTACTTCCTAGTCTTCTCTAATTCTGGAACTCTGAGCTCATAGGTCATATTCTATCTCAAACTCTATGGACAATCCCTGCTAAAATATACCCCTGACTTGTTTAAGTTAATTGATTGCCCAGAAGCAAAGTAGTATTAATGCAAAATAGCTACAACATTATGGCATTCCATAATCGTTCCATCGAGGAAAAAGATTGAGTCATCTGCAAACAAGAGGTGAGATAGCGTGGGATAGAATCTATTCAGCTTGATCCCCTTTATACTTCCGTCCTCCATTGCCTTTTTCATCAAATAAGATAACACATTACCCACCAAGATGAACAAATAGGGAGAGAGGGGATCACCTTGTCTAATTCCTCTTGATGGTTGAAAATAGGGTAGAGGCTCTCCATTTAGTTTGGCACTAAAGGACATAGTAGTGATGCATTGCATAATCCACTTCACCCATTGACAGCAAAAACCCATTTTCAGCATGTAAGCTTCCAAAAAATCTCATTCAACTCTCTCATATGCCTTTTGCATATCAAGTTTAAGCACTGCTTGGAACGTTCTCTTCCTCTTTCTTATTCTCAACTGATATA